GTCTTCCTATGCCTATACGTAGGATATGTATGTATGTATATATTTATGTAAGTGTGGTTGTGAAGAAAATGTACGTTAACATGGCTACATTTGAAAATACATACATATGTGAATTTGTACGCAATGACAAAATTTCTTCGGCATACACGCAAAAAAGTTGACATTCTTCAAACTGGAAATGGGATTATATAAAAGATGATTTTAGATTCCACATCTTGAATTCGTATTGAAAATACGAATTTATTCATGCAAAAAGAGTTTTAAAATTATATAGCATCGACATAATAACTTAAACTTTTGGCAAATAAAATCAAACTCTGGGCAAATGGATTTAAACTTTCAGCAGATAGATTTAAACTTTGGGCAAATAAATTTAAACATGAAGATAGTGTCAATGCTATAAATAATGATAAAGTTATTGAAGTTTTAAATTTTCATGTTTGCAGTATCTACAGCAATTTTCAAGAAATCCTGATGTAAAAGGCGGGTATCTGCAAAAACATTGCAGTATCTACACTTTTTTCAGTAATTCAGGTGGAAATGTAGCTTGCATACTGATCAAAAACAACGTATTTATCTACGCTGCCGTATGCAGATACGTCGTTTCTAAAAAGTATTCTTGATCGTTTGAGGCCATCGATCGTTTTTTAGAAACACGTATGTACATACGTACCCACATTCTTTGGCAGGATTGGAGGCATTTTGGATGTTACAGAACGACGTTTATAACTTTTAATACAAGTAAGTTACTAATTAGATAAATAATATAAATAAAATACATATTGTTGGCTTAGAGTGCAAACGTGCTAAGTCCATTTTTTATTGTTTCAGGAGGGACAAAAAACCTTCGAACTTTATTGTTGTTAATATTTTCCTAATCTGTAAATGCAGTTTTCTTTCTTAGTTCATCTTGTTTCAATATAAATAATCAACCAGTTTCAAAATTAAGCAGTTGCAATTAAGTTGCTTTGTGACTGAATTTTTTATTTTAATGTGGGCCAGTTTTTCATTATTTTATTTTTAAACGATTTAGTTGTTTATTTTAAAAATATAGTTTTTAATAATAACCTAATACAGTTTTATTTCATTGCTCTTAACCTAAAAATAACTATTTTAAGGTGTAAATTTAGTACCATTTATAAAGGAAAATAATTAAGAACAAGTAAAGAAGTATAAGTTTGCGCGAAACCGAACTTTATATACTCGCCACAGGTATCAAATATTGTCGTTTCAACTTTCTCTCTTTGCCTGATAGGCAGGGGTGTTTTTACCGATTTCAAATGTTTTCGATAATATGCTGAGTTAGATTCAATGATAAATTGAACCAAGTTTGATATAAATCGATAAAGTGGTTACCGAGATACAATCTTGTAGTCATAAAGTGGGCGGTGCCACGCCCAATACCTAAAAGACTACAGAAGTCTTAAATATTTTTAAGAGATTGTTGTGAGTATTAACTTGGAGTACATTAGCGTCCNTAATTGAACCAAGTTTGATATAAATCGATAAAGTGGTTACCGAGATACAATCTTGTAGTCATAAAGTGGGCGGTGCCACGCCCAATTCCTAAAAGACTACAGAAGTCTTATATATTTTTAAGAGATTGTTGTGAGTATTAACTTGGAGTACATTAGCGTCCCCATTATTGAAATATCAGAGTTTCCGTATCTCTGATATTTGCCGTTAGATATACGGGAAGTGGGTGTAATTTTGGTCCAATTTTAATAATTTTCAACGAATTGCTTCTACGTACCAAGGTTATTAAGTGCACCGAGTTTGGTAGAGATTGATAAATCGGTTACCGAGTTCACATTTGTGGTCATAAGTGGACGGCGCCACGCCCGTTATCCAAAAATTTATAATAATCTAATTTCCTGCTAGGTTAGGTTAACCTAACCTAATTTCCTGCTAAGTGGTTATCGCAATCACCGATCTTAAGTAAATTAGCTTTAGTAGTTATTGCTTTATCGCAGTTTTCGTGTTTCTGTAAATTGCCCTTATATGGTAAATAGATGCGCGTAGTCATTTCCCGATCTCAAAGATTTTAAACAAATTTCTTTACTAGACCCTGAGCAAGGCTCGTACCGAGTTTGGTAAAGATTGGTGAACGGGCTACTGAGATACAGCATTTCATCATAGCTGGGCAACCTACATACCAAATTTCGTTGAGATATCTCGAATTATTGTGTACACAGACAGACGTGTTGATATTATTTTCTTGATTTTTTTTTTGGACTTAGCACATTTGCATACCACTGCATAACAACAAGTAAGAACGACTTTACGGTAACTTTTTCTTTTGTAATGATGTATTTTGAGTTGTGCTATCTTACTGCATTAAAATTTGAACGATACGTATTATGGGGTTTCTTTTCTTTTCTGCCTGGGATATTGTGGTTCTTTCTTTTCTTGCTGTCTATTTTAAGTAGCTTTTGGTAAACTGTAAGAATGTTTACAAAATAGATATATATATTCATATTCAAAATAAAGAAGTCTGTATGTTGGACTTAAGCACATTTGAAAATACCATATGGACTTAGTTAGTCTGGAAGCAAAATTTCCCAAAATTTCTTAAGGGGGACTTAGGCAGGTTTAATATGTATAGACTCATATGTCACAATCTGCAGTAACAGAGCACAATATGATTGACTGGCACAGACTTAAGTAATTTTGATTTACATCTACGGTGGGACTTATGGTGTTTTCGTTTCTACTAAAAAATGTCGCCTTTTGATTGCCCCTTTCCCTTTTCGCGCTCGATTCTCAAATCTAGGCAAACGGTGAGAAAATTTCGTGTTTGTTTCTTAAAATGTCACACTCTTATAAAGCAAAAAAGGCACATTCTCTGCCCTTTGAAACTCTGTCAGGGGAGATGGTTGCCCTGAAAATCAGATGGTTGCTTAAAATGGCAATATTATGAAATACGTGAGCTAGACCAAGACAGGAAAGAAAAAACATGCTCTTCTACAGGGTTAAGTGTAACATCAAACACATTTTGCACCGTGGAAGGGCAACATTTTTTGGAAGAACCGAAATCAGTCACCTTTGAATAAATAGTTAATATTAAATTTTATTATTTAATCCTATCGACATTAGTTAGCACATTTCTTTAATTATTTATTTGTTCGGTCAGTGTGTAAGGGACCAAAAAAATTTCGTCTGTGGACTTAAGCAGTTTTGATATGTATCAACTCATATATAATGTTTTGCCAAAAAATTCAAGAAGTACAAGTAATTTTTAAGAAAAAACCAAAACCTCATATAAAAATTTAAGAATACCGTTAATTTCTTCATAATCCAATGATCGGATCTAAACCAAATTAGTATGGGACCACCTCTGAGGTACCATCTTTCCATAAAAAAAATTATAATTAGAGAAATCGGTTAACGTGGTGCAAAGTCATACGGTAACATATATAAAAAAAATATTCCGACGAACTCATAACCCCCTCCTTTTTTTAAAGTCGGTTAAAAGGTTTATCGAGACCAACAAATTAATTGAAATCGACTTTTATGAATACGATGGAAAACAACTACAAATTGGTAGATACCCACGTTCTTCATCAGTAAACTCCGCGCTCTTAGCGCTTTCGTACTGCTAAAATGCCGTATGTGCGCAGGTTTTCTCACAAATTTTACGTTCGAGAGAAAGACGTATCTACGGTTTCGCATGCATGCAATCAAAATTTGCATTTTTTTGCAGANATTCGAGAGAAAGACGTATGTATCTACGGTTTCGCATGCATGCAATCAAAATTTGCATTTTTTTGCAGAAATAAAAAAAAGGACATCCGAATTAGTCTAAAACAGTTGTTTTCATTTGCACAAAAAGCATACATTGGACAGGCCAAGTATAGTGCAAAAATTATTTTCTTTATAAAACTAACAAATTACAAATTAAAGCTTTAAATGCATTTTTATTACCTTTTTTTACGTTTTGAAATCAAGTTCTAAGTAAATTTTTTGAGTGAGTTTCAAATATGTAGGTTGTGTTGAAAGTACTGTCAAGTGTTTGGTAAGAATAAAATATATAGAACTCATCTGCTTTTAATTAAATTGTGTTATATATTAAATTGCGTGAGCGCTTTATCTATATTATGAGTTATTATTAAGCAGTACTGGTTCACCCGTGACAAAAAATGCTAAAAGTGGTTATATTTAATTACAGAAGTTAAAGTTGTGTTTCGGATATGTTACATAATGCTAGAACTTCATTGCAAATGTTTACCACAATTGCATTTTCGTTTCCACATAGTTAGATGAGAATACATAATTCAACAGTGAAGCATGTCCCACCCGTGACAGCTACAGGTGGACAGTTGTCAGATGTAGGTTTACAGGGCTGATAAGCTTTATTTGCGCAGGGGAGGAGGAAGCGCAGACTAGCCCATTACTTATATGCTGTTTGGTCAGCTAATTAAGTTAAGTGTCATTTCGACCAGTTTTTTTTCTTTTGTTTATTTATTGTTTATAGTTTTTTTTATAAAAGTCTAGCACGTTACATAACCAGAACCACATAAATCCACATTTCAAACCTCGTACAAAAATTATAAAAATTCAACTAACTAACAATTACACCCAAAAAGGTAGATAAAAGGCACTATCCTAAGATAAATCCTGAGTGAATTGAACCCCTACTTGGCTTCTTATATTTTTTAATAACTAATCTATAATATGGACCACACTAAAAGCTCGTTTTCATATAAAAATTCTTACGTGTCCCACCCTTGACAAACGTTGTCCCATAGAGCTGGAAAACTATCGATACTATCGACACCACTATCGATAGTTTGGTACTATCGATAGTCCAGCGACTATCGAACTATCGATGTTTATATTATTCACTTCTCTTCCTTTACGCGGAATTCAAATTGTTCGTAAGCTTGTGATTTTGTGATTAAACGTATTGATTTCTGAAACGGTAAGGAATTAAATATGTGCATACATAATTAAATAAGCATTCTGTATAATTTCAATTAACAAATGAAACTATTTTAAAGATGGACGACATTATTAGCATTGACGACGGTGAGTCACTTTCGCCGCCAAAAGTTAAAAAGCCCAGAATATCGGATGTGTGGAAATATTTTAAGAAAAAGGATACAAAAGCTAAGTGCACGTATTGTGAAAAAGAATATGCACACTGTGGAAATACGAGCAATTTAAAAGACCACATGTCTAGGTGCGACGGTGTTCGAAGCAGTATGCGGAGCAACGCCACCACCAGCAGCAGTAGCACTACATCGTCGACCGCGTCTTCATCGCAAAGGTATTTTGTTGGTGAAATTTTTTTTAAGAAGCGGCATACGGATCGGCAGCTCGGTTAACACGGGTGATACGGTCAGACGAGCCTACACAAGAAGTTAATGTCATGAAAATATTAGTCTTTCCAACAAATATTAGGCTGAATCAGCAACAGCTAACCGAGTTTCTGAGCCGTATTTCCTGTGTTATCCGTATTGTGTCCAATAGTTACTATTCCGCCTTTTTGATATAATTACATTATTGCATTTTCAGTACACTCGACTTTTTTATCAAAATCGCACCGAGATATGATCAAAATTCGTCAAGAAAGAAGGAAATCGATCGCGCGCTTGCATTAATGGTGTGCCAAGATTATCAACCATTTTCAATAGTTAACGATGAAGGCTTTCGAAATTTTGTTCGTGTTTTAGACACGAGGTATGAGTTACCTTGCAAAACAACTCTAAAAAATAAACTATTGAAATCGCAATATGATGAAATCAAAATCCAGATTAAAAATGAACTGGAGAGTGTCGCGCATATTGCAATAACTTGCGACATGTGGAGCTCAAGGGCTAATGATGGATATCTTACTGTGACAAGTCATTTCATTACAAACGATTTTGGTTTGAAATGTTACGTGTTGTCCACCAAACCTCTGTTGGACCGTACAAATAAACAGGCCGATAACATCACAAGAACAATGCAATCAGTATTTGACGAGTATCAAATTACTAATAAGATAGTTTGTATTGTGACAGATAACGACAGCACAATGATAAAAATGTGCTCAAACCTGCAATAAAGACACTTGCGATGCATGGCTCACACCATTAATCTAATAATACAGGACACACTAAAATTGAATTCAATCGAAAGTATTATTTCAAAATGTAAAAATATCGTTAGATTTTTTAAAAGTAGTAACATTGCTACAGAAAAATTAAAGGAAAAACAAAATTGTAATGAGCCCTTGAAATTGATACAGGAGGTTCCAACGCGCTGGAACAGTTCATTGGCCATGATAAAAAGAATTATGGAATTGAAAAATTCAGTTAATGCGTGTCTTTTGGATTTAGATAGAGCTCCAGAGCCGTTGCGAAATGAAGAAGCTTTGGTTTTAAATGATTTGGTGCTAATTCTAACGCCCTTTGAAGAGGCAACCA